GGACTGTGTAGCTGTCTCCTGCAGAGAGAAGTGGTTCCTGGGGACTTTACCATTGCATGGTAGCGTAAGCCAGGGAGCCCAATACCTACCATTCAAGGAGCCATTCCTAGCTCCACTTCCCAATCTGTGGAGATTATTACAAACTATACCTAGAAAGGCACTATTACTCATTCCCTTTGCCTTTGAATAAAAGTGCATCTTATTTTAGCTTGTACCTTGGGTTGACTGAAGTTTAATTCCAGTGGTAAGGGGGGTCTAAGCTGTTGTCCTCAAACCATAGAGAGATGCTGATTTCAGGTCTTTGAAAAGCTTTAGTATTTGGGGAGGCAGTTTGTTTTGTAATTAATCTGTTGTTCTGTAGGTGCCCAAACTAGTGGTGGTTAACTAGATGCACTATTTTAGTTCCTTCTAGAAAAGTAAATAAGTTTAGGCCAATGTTCAGGGTTTTCCTTACTCCATCCTGTCTTCCAAATGAGAGAACCGTATGTAGTATTTATTGGCACCTCCCGCAGTATTAGTATTAGTATTCAAGATACTTGAAACAGTTTTAATAAAAATAGCTCAGTAAAATAGTTCAGAGCATGCGTTAGTGACACTAACAGAGAAGTCCAGCTAAATTACTTTCATAGTAAGAGGAATTGAAGCATATATTTCTGTTGGCATATTCTATTTTCAGACATTTTGCAGTTCAAAGCTTCTTTGCCACTGCAAGATGCTCTAAAGCAGTTCTTATATAGTGTTTGTGCCACATATACATTTTGTAAATGTACAAGGATCTGATGCATATGCTCTGGTAGAAAGTAAGCACAGTGAGTAATCTGTAACATCAGAGGCATCTTTGCATCTGCTCCTTTATCATCTGAAACTTTATCAATTCTTGATGTGTTATAGTTGCTTGAAGAAAGGAGAGGGGGTAGGGAAGATGTCACTGCCCATGGCAGGGGGATTGGACTAGATGATCTTTAAAGGTCCCTTCCAACCCAAACATTCTATGATTCTATGGCATTTTAGGAATATGGTTGGTGTGGATGTGCCCAACTTAACATAGCTGTTGAGAGAAACCTGCTTTTAACATCTTTCCAGCCGAAGGAAAGAACAAACCTGTGCTATGTTTGTCCAGCAAGGAGGCTTTGAGTTAACATTCTGAGGCTGGTCGTTCAGAATCCATACACTTCAAGTGTGTTTGTTTAAATGGGATTGACCCTTGAGTATAGAGAGGAAGAGGAATTTGAACCTTGTAGGAGCAGCCCCTGCTTCTCACAGTGAAGTGATGCTCTGGAGGGGGACTCTCACCTGCCATGTCGGTCAGTTCCCTGTGGTGTGCATTTGAAATGCTGCTTCTGGACGTGTTTGATAGCATTAGGTAAATCTAACTTAAAGAATGAGGAGTTTAAGACAGGGGACCTGTACTGCGTTGGCTTTTCAGTCTTTGCTCATTGCACTCTGCTGTGTGATGAACCAGAGGTCAGTTAGGTGGATTTGAGAAAGTTCTTAAATGAACTTTTTCATTGAAGAAATGTCAGTCTCGGGGATTGTTCTCATTTAAAGAGTCAGAGTTAAGCTAGCCATGACTTCTAATACTGAGGGAGGCTGAAGAGCAAGGTCATGTTCTCCTTAAATACGACAGTCAAAAAGTGAGAAAGGTGACATAATTGCTTAACTGGCACCTTGGTGACACAAGTGTTTCTCGTTTGAATCTCAAATCCATTTTTCATCAAATGTCTTTGTAACTAACTTGTTGCTGACCTTTAGGTACCTGTATCATGTAACTTGTATTGCCCCACACAGCATGTGCCAAGGTACCTGATGCCCTCTCTTCTGGATGAAACAATTGAGGCAGTTGTAGCAGGCCTAAACACAGCCATCTATCAGCGTCCTCTTACACCACGAGCTCCTACTAGGCAGAAAAGAAAAACAGGTAAGGCCATTGGACACCTTCTGTGGTTCCTGTCTGCAAGAATAAAAGCTTTTGGGAAGCCAGAACCATACAAAATACTCTCAATCAGCTGTATGCTGCCACACCTGTGCAGCTGCAGAAGTACACCACATGCATTTTCTTCTCTCCCCATACTGCCTCTGCCCAGAAGCATCTTGAAGGTTGCTTTTAAATAAATCCTAATGATTTCACTTCTTCTACTCTGCTGTTTCGTACTGTTGCAGTACACTGTCAGTCTCTCTGAGCTGCTTTGTTGAGGCATGGGGGAATGAAGAAGGGAGGACGGGGTAAAGTGCAGTGCCAGCACTTATCCAGATACTTGGTCGTCTTTTGTCCCAACAGGCAGGAGGAAGAAAGTAGGAGGCAAAAAAAGAACTCAGACAAAATCTTCTGCTGGGAAGAAGAGTTCAGGGACACAGCTGAAGAGACGCAAGCGTCGGATAAAGAGAAGGGGGAAAAAGATGAGAGTAAGATCACACGTGAGTATCTGCCATTTTTCAGCCATCTGTAAAAGCATAATAACATGGGATTCAATGAAGAAATACTGTCTTATAATGACAGCAGATAACTTTTTTTTTTTTTTTTTTTGCTGGTGGGATTGTGTGCAGGATGTGTCCAGTGTACCTCCAGAAAGATGCTGTACATGGAAACAAATTGCAACTTCCAGGCAGGCCTGCTGGGTTTACTGACAGATCCTGTTACCTAAACTGCAGGGATCACACTGTAAAGCATGTCCTTCAGGCTTTGGGTTATGCCTTGCCATTCAGCTGCAGTGTTTACTTGGTACTGATGTAAGCTCAGTTAAAATTGTCACCATCTATTCTTTTTAATAGGCTATGGATATTTGTGTCTTTGTTGTTGCAGACACAGTTAATCAGCCATAAGGGCTCTCAAAATACCTTTCAGTTGTGCATAGTGTTCTCGTGTGAACTATACTGAATGCTCTGCACAGCTTGACTTCTGTCCTCAGCTACCTTATCTAGAGTTTACATCCTACAGCCAGAACTGTCCCTCCAGCCTTTAATAAGGAATTGACAATTTTGAATGACATTATTAAAGATTTTTAGAACTTAGCTGGTTGCTTAAATCTGATACGTGTAGTCTCTGTGTGAAGTAACATGGGCCATGGTGAGAAATGTAATAAATGCTTTAAAGCAAATCTAGATGATAAATGCACACCAATTCTGCTACCAATGGTAGTAACCTGATGACTCTGCTTAGCCTAAGCGAAGAATTTGGGGCTTTAAACCCAGGGTACATACCTGCCCTAACATACAGATAACCCAGTCTCTTTATCTGGGCAGGTGAAAAATGAAGTTACTACTCGCTCCCGTATTGCAAGAGCTCTTGGTCTTAGTAAACCTATGCGTGGGGCCTCGCTTCCCTCCATGTACAAACCAATGGAGCCCTCACTTGGTCTGATGAGAGCAGATATTGGTGCAGCTTCTCTGTCTGTGTTTGGAGATCCATATGAGTTGGATCCTTATGAAAGGTAAGATATCTCTGGATTGTGATCAGGGACCTGTTAATTTCACGAGTGCCAGGTTGTTTGTACATGTGGCTTTTTGCAGAGTGTAGATCTCTCATCTGAAGACAGCTTTGGATACACAGCTCATAATAACATGTTGGCCTGTTCTTTCTTTCCTTCTTGGCCAAGTTGGTGGGCTCTCAAAGAATCAGCCCTCTTTAAAGAGGTTTGCTGAAATAATAAGCCTCGTGAAAACCTTTAATAAGATCTATGGGGTTATTCAAAGGCTAGAATCTGAAAGAGTCGGATCCTAATGAGTCATTTTCTATTTATTTATTTGAAGTGAAGATAGCTAGTGTATTTGGCATACACTAAGCAGTGACTTCACATAGAATTAAATGGACCTGTGGAATCTTCCATGTTTCTCCTTTTCCCATCTTCATTTTTCCAGACACTTTAAATTCAAGAGGAATCTTACTGTGCCATAGCTTGTGTCACTCTTAAGCTTTGGATTTTGGGAGGGGGCATCTGAAATTATTGTTGGTGAAATGTAACTTTCCACTGCATAAGTCTTTTCATAAAAGGAAATTACCCATTTAATATTTTAAAAATAAAACTCTGCATTTGAATCTCTGCTGGCTGAGTTAAGCTATTCTATTTATGTAGCCACAGAAAATGAGTATATTGCACAAATCTTTTTTTAATGTATCATAATAAACCAAATTATGCTCTCTAACAATATCTGTCCTATTAGTTATTATCTGCTTCATGTATTTGATGTGAAAAAACATTCAGATAATTTCAGGGTTCATGTGTGTGTTTTACCCATAGTAATGAAGAGGTTCCAGCAAATCCAGATTCACCAGTGAGTGCCAAAAGGAGAGTTCTCTCCCAGTCAGCACTGAGGTCTCACCGTCCTGTAGCTAGACCTATTTCTGTGGGACTTCCCAGGTAAAAATCCATCAAGTTATTTATTTTATTTTTCTTAATTGCTCTTTTGTTAGGGTCATTAGACAAACTGGATGATCATCCCGGTTTAACTCTTTTCTTGCCCTGAGTATTTTGAAAGAGT